AAATCGCAAGACAGACAAGGTTCGAAAAGATCGGGAGAGGCAGTGAGTGATTCAGTCTGATGGTGATGATACACACACACACACACACACACACACACACACACACACACACACACACACACACACACACACACATATATATATATATATATATATATATATATATATATATATATATATATAAATATATAAATATATCTATGAATATATATATATATATATTTATATATATATATATATATATATAAATATATATATGAATATATATATATATATATATATATATATATATATATATATATATATATATATATATATATATATATAACTATATATAAATATATGTATGAATATATATATGTGTATATATATATATATATATATATATATATATATATATATATATATAAACACACACACACACACACACATATATATAATTCTCTCTCTCTCTCTCTCTCTCTCTCTCTCTCTCTCTCTCTCTCTCTCTCTCTCTCTCTCTCTCTCTCTCTCTCTCTCTCTCTCTCTCTCTCTCTCTCTCTCTCGTATGAGATTATCCGACAGCACAAAGAAAACGGTTCGCATTGGTTTCCGAAAAGCACACGTATTTTGGCTGTCACTGCGCTAACACTTAGGGCAGGAAGTGTGCGATCTCGCTTATTGTCTGCCGACCGAATGCCTTTTTGTTCCATGTCTCGAATCAAAAGATATTGCAGCGTTCCTCCTCCTCCGCCTGTTTGTTTCGGTCGGATTACGCTGTCGGGTCGCGAGTTCGGGCCGATTCGGGTTGTGATTTGTGTCGTATTGTTCGAACGCGGTCTGTCTTTACCCTCCCCCCCTCCCTTGTTATCATGACGCTGTGACTGATGGCGGTCGTTCTTGAATTATGCTGTACTAATTTCATAAGTATTTTTCGATGTTGGTTTAGATTGTTTTCACATTGTTTGGAAAGATGCAGAACTGAATTGTAGTATATTAAGTATGATATTCAAACCAGCATTTCCGTGACCCGTGTTTGCTATTGTTCGTGTCACTCGTTGTGCCCTCCGCTGTGTGATGCGCTTCCGTTTTCATCTGTTTATTTTTCTCTCTCGGGTTCCCTTCTCTTATTTTCTGATGCATACATATATGCATAGATGCATACATACATACGTACATACATACATACATACATACATACATACATACATACATACATACATACATACATACATACATACATACATACATACATACATACATACATACATACATGCGTACATACATACATACATACATACATACATACATACATACATACATATATATATATATTATTATTATTATATTATTATTATTATTTTATTATTATTATTATTATTATTATTATTATTATTATTATTATTATATTATTATTATTATTTTATTATTATTATTATTTTATTATTATTATTATATTATTATTATTATTATTATTATTATTATTATTATTTTATTATTATTATTATTATCATCATCATCGTCAACATCATCATCATCATCATCATCATCATCATCATCATCATCATTATTACTATAATTGTTACTATCGTTTTTATTATAATCATTATTATCATTATTATATCAATTTCTTTACTTGGCGATATACAAGATCCCGTAAAGTTTTCTGCCGAAAGTAGGAAAGGGTTAATGGATTGCTTCCTTGGATTTTTGTAAGAACCACAATGATGTATTACTTTCTGCCATTGTTGGATTATTACTTACTATTACATACATTACTGCATTTTTTTCAATTTTATTGTTATTTCTCTGACTTTTATCATGGTGGTATTATTGTTATTGGTGTAGATGTTGCCGTTATTTTTGTTATTATTATTATTATTATTATCGCTATTATCATTATTATTGTGTTTTTTATCATTATCATTATTGTTTATTATTATTATTATTGTTATAAATAGTAGTAGTTGTAGTAGTAGTAGTAGTATTGGTAGTATTGTTGTTGATATTATCATTATTATTATTGTTATTATTATTGTTGTTGTTATGATTGTTATTATTGTTGTTGTTATGATTGTTATTGTTATTTATATTATTATTGTTATTATCATTAATATTATTGTTATTATTATTATTATCATTAATATTATTGTTATTATTATTATTATCATCATATTATCATTATCACTGTTATTATTATTATTATTAGTAGTAGTAGTAGTAGTAGTAGTAGTAGCATTGTTATATGTCTTTTTATTATAGTTATTACTATTATTGTTGTTTATTATTATCATTTTGTTATTGCTGTTATTACTATTAGGAATGCACCGATACCACTATTTTGAACTGATATAAATACCGATAGGCTATTTTTTTATTTCTACATTTTCTTATATATAGTCTTTTAGACTTAAAATAATTAATTGGAGTTTGATAATTATTTTCTACAGGTCAGGGCCAGAAAAAAAGTTAAAAAAGGCGACATCCTAATGTTTGTTTTTTATTATATAAATAGTCGTTTCCAGAAATACTGTATCTTTATGTTAATGATTTATATGTGTAAATGATATATCTAAAGGCTATTTTCTCAATAGATACAATTTAACACATGCATTTACGAACTGTTATTATTTGAGCCTGTATATTGTGGAAATGTAAACTAGGCGTGCTTCGGAGTCTTAGGTTGCAGAGCCAAGGGCCTGTCTCTGTTGCCCTCTGTGCGTGGTTGATCTATCTCTGGGCTTAATGGGAAGTAAACAATTGAGATTATAGATTTAAATACTAACTGACAGTCGCTAACCTCTCCCTGTATCTAGAGTCGCCCATGCTGCCAAGAATGACCAGGAACTGGATATTTTTGGATATTAGTTTGATAGTTAGGAAAGAGTGGGGGGGGGGGGGGTAGAAATGCATTTAAGTAGGAAGCCATCTTGTAATACGCAAAGTTATGTGAGGTAAGAACTTTTGAACTATAATATTATCTTGACAAGTGGCCATGATCTCCCCTTGCCACTTGTTCACCCGGGTTGAACATTATTGATTTAAACATTCGACTGAGTAACTTATCGTCTGCTGAACTTGTATATAATAAAGAAGAATGAGCCGTTCTCTTTTTACCCATACTCCCATCGAAAACAGTTTTCCTGAAATACAAGCGGTATGATCTTTATGAAAATAAAGAAAACTGTTGTTGAAAAAATCTAGGATCTACATATGACATGATTATGAAATATACTAAATCTAGAGTTATTGTGTCTGTGTTAACATAACATATCAGAAGAAAAAGAATATTTCTGATTTCAAAATTAGTGAAATATCTGCTGCTATGTTGTATATTAAATACACAGTTGTTTCATTTTGTTCACACACTGTAGGTCATCTGATAAAACTTACAGAAGGCATGAAACTTGATTTTGTTAGACTGTTTCATATGCTCACCCCGTTGTTGCTTTCTTATTTCCTAAACGATAGCTACCGCCACCACCACTACTACTACTACTTCTACTACTACTACTACTACTACTACTACTACTACTACTACTACTTCTACTACTACTACTACTACTACTACTACTACTACTACTACTACTACTACTACTACTACTACTACTTCTGATAATATTGATAATGATTGTGATAGTAATAAGAACAATAGCAATGGCTTCATTAAGTAGTTATAATGATAACCTTAATGATGATAAAAAAATGATAATATTAATGATAATAATTATGATAAACATAATAGTAATATTAACGACAATAATAATAATAATAATAATGATAAGTATAATAATAATAATAATGATAAGTATAATAATAATAATAATGATAAGTATAATAATAATAATGATAATAATAATAATAATGATGATAATAGTTACAACAATAATGATAATAATGATAATAATAATAATGACAATTATGATAATAATGATGATGATAAAAATAATAGTAATATTAATGATGATAATAATAATAATAATAATAATGATAATAATAATTACAATGATAATAATGATAATGATAGTAATAATGATAATGGTAATGGTAACGATAATGATGGCATTGATGATAGTAAGAATAATAATGATAATTATCATTATCATCATAATAAAAGCTTTATGCTGCAAGCGAAAATATTTCACTCACTGCTATATTCATTACTTTCATATTTGTTTTGTTTGGCTTTACATGGCAGAGTTCCTAACTCTACAATAGGACTGTTGGGCCGTGCCAAATTTACACAGGAGAAGTGACATTACAGGAGCAAATATCTTCTTGAATTTCCCTTGCTGCTGCTACGATCTCGGCCAACGTGAATCTATTTCAGTGTTATTTTATGTTGGAGCACTCTCAGTGGTGAACCTTCTGCAGTTCCTTACTTTTGTTGCAACAACTACTATTGTTACTGTTTTTTTAAGACGATGCTCCCCCCACCCGTAATGGCCATATAACATGTATATTACATTATACTATCCACTCCTGTTATTCATAAGCCGCATTACTATTATGGCTACTGCTGCTGCTGCTACTACTACTACTACTACTACTACTACTACTACTACTACTACTACTACTACTACTACTACTACTACTACTACTACTACTACTATTACTACTACTACTATTACTATTACTACTACTATTGCTACTACTACTACTACTGCTACTGCTACTGCTACTACTACTACTATTACTACTACTACTACTACTACTACTACTGCTACTGCTACTACTACTACTACTATTACTACTACTACTACTACTACTAATACTATTATTATTATTATTATTACTATTACTACAATTACTATTAATATATTACTGCTATAAATACTACTACTATTATTATTACTTTTACTACTAAAATTATAGGTAGTATTTGTTTTCCTATCGTTAGTTTTGTTGTTATTATTGCTACTGCTACTACTACTACACTTAATGGTATTGTTATTATTATTTTAATTCATTAACATATAAAATTCAGGCCTCCTCTAATTTGATTAACTGTCTGTTTACAGGTACCGAACGTGCGCTGTGATGTAATAAGTGCAAAGCCGAAATTCGGACTGTGCCAACAGCTTTACCGCACGCAAGCGATGGCGTAGAAAAGGGTGATGGTGACCGCTGACAAGGCTTTCCACGGACTCAAGGCCAGACTGAACGCCGCGATGTATGTGTTTGCAACATTTCTACACAATTATACAGCGTTGCAAAATGCGACGGATCCATTAGGCGCGTAGAGTGCGCTCGCGGCTGCAGCAACGTGGTTTCGACGGCGACATAGCGGTGTCGTGGTGAAGGGAGTGTGTGTGCGTGTGTGTGTGTGTATGCGTTCTGTGTTCGCGTGTGTGCGGCGGTATTCGCGGTGGGCCTCGGAGTGCCACAAGTCGCGTGTACGAGTGGGTCTCGCAGAGGCTTCAACGCCGCGAGTTGTTCTGCCTGGCGTTGATTGCAATATTCGGATGACGGACACGGCGGTCAGCACCAAGGCCGCGTGTGATACCTTGCCATTGCAGTGCTGCCTAACTGAAAAAATAAGAAAAAAATAAATATATGATACGCTGATGTATTTGTTCTTGAAATAGATGCATAGATAAGTGCGTGGAATAATTAGTGAGTTGGTGAAGGAAAAGACAGCATTGAAAAAGCCGCCCTGGTGAAGCCCAGCATCATGGGCTGACCGTCACACCCACGAGGTCTGTGACGTGACGCGACGGACGTGACCATTTCAGCGACCGAGGCTTCCCTTCGAGGCTTCCCTTCGAGGCTTCCCTTCGCCGCGTCATGGAGGACGAATCTCAG